TATTATATTTCTTACAGTTTCCGAGATCCCAATGGTGAGGGTCGAATTTGAAACACCCTGTATATGTTACTAAAAAACATGCTTGATCTATACGCTAGTAAAGGAAAGTCCTGACTTTGAGAACACCCTGTATACGAACAAGTGAACAAGAGGTAAAGTGTATTTTATCAATTGGCATTCTGGACTTTAAATCCCATTTTCCATTCAACGGACTCCTATACGCCCTAGGCCAATAAAGTGACTTTAGCGCTTCTTGAATTAATTTATCTTGAGTACAATAAGGCGACCAAGGGACTGTTCCCTATGTATTTATTCCTGGGCAAAGGCGCAACTATCGGTGATACAATGGTGCGGTTTTTGATTGTAGTTATTTGTAGATAGTTTTATATAGGTATGTCGGACGTAATAAGTGTTTGTGCCCCTTTGTGTGTTGAAGGCTGCAGAGTTTCACGCCTTGCGCCGACAACCGAGTTACGCCGTTCATACTTAAATAAATATAAATAAATACTCTTGCCAAAATAATAGCCAGGAATTCAAAAAACGTACTAGTCTCGGATCCCATGTGCGAAATTTTCTCCATACTATATTGGTAGATACAAATTCGGTAAGTTATATAGAGAACTTGTCACCGTTAAATCATAAGTCTGCAGATGAAATGACTAGATTTACGAAAAAGTTAGGAGTTACCAATATCATTCAAACAGGATGCATTCAAGCCTACTAAGCTTGTATCAAATAGGGATGGCCTATTTTCAAGATTTTTGACTTTGTTGGCAAAAGAAGTTCCACAAAAGAAGTTTGATCCAACGACACAGTATTTCAATGCCTAAGTATAGTTGTAGTCACCGTTCTTGGCGGGTCAAAGTACGACTACCAGTATCCCTTTATATATCTCTATCTCCCTCATACATACACATGCAACCTACCCCTGTGTGTGAACGTTTGTTCGGTACGTTGTGCCCTTCAATCATATTTGTCAGAGTGATAACTTACTTGACATCGGCGTGCAGTTTAAGTTGTCCTGTTATCAATCTTCAATACAAAACTGTACAATACCCGGAAATACGATCAATAGAGAAGATCGACAGCTGGTGCTAAATTTATTAGATTATTTTCAGGAAGAGAAAGAAAACAGAGTTTCCCTGTTACACACTTCATGCGTACTGGAGAGAGTAGCAGATGTGCTGAAGATTAAGATCCGCCCATGGTACGGAGACTCGATCTGTTTACTTATTTCGTATGGCGTTGATGACGTAACTGTCAAGGACGGTGATTACAACTATACTAAGGAATCTTACGTATGGCAGCAGGAAACTACATGTTTCCGACATTCAGTGCATTTTTTGAGGCATGATATTTCTGAAAAAGGTCAAGATTTTTTCCACCTTGCTTTACCTTCAATTTTCAAGGTCAAAAACTGTTTTTTAAATGGAAGTCCCCTTTTTCGAAATCAAATATAGGAGTCATCTCTGAACGTTAAATGTAGGTCAAATGTGTTAGGTTAGGAATAATACTAGAGCGCAAATTTTGCATCATCGGTGTCAGAAAGGGAAGTTCGCAATAAAAAAGGTTGATCTTGAAATGTCTTTGAAAGTGAGAGTAAAGATTGAAGTCAAGGTCACAGTTGAATTCCTTGTATGTTACTACATATCTGTACTTAATATCAACAATAATCCCACTAAGCTCCAAAGAAATTTCCTAGCCTCACACATTAATTTGTGGTTCGCGCGATGGATAGAAGTGATCTTGATCTTAGATTCTTATACATATTCGGACGAAGAATTTTTCGCTCTTTCGATTGCCGGAACCAAAAAGGGTATTTTCATTTGAGGGAAATATAGTTTTTCAGAAACGGTGATACTGCCGATATCGCAAACTATCGCCGTATATAATTACTTCCTGTTCTCAGTAAAATTAATGAAAAATACTTGGTAGAAGAAATCGTCTTACATTTTGAAAATGAAAACATATTCAATTTAAACCAGTTTGAGTTTCGACGTCGAAAACACACAACCTTCGCAGTTTTTAAGTTGGTCGATGACATAGTTGATCCTTTCGAAAAAAACAATAATGCTTGCATACCATATTCTGTGATCTCAGCAGGGCATTCGACTGTGTACCACATAGCACTTTAATCATACAGCTCATAATATATAATCTTGAGACAACTTCTTGGAACCTGATCGATTCCTATTTAAGCAATAGATAATAATTGGTAAAAACTGGAAATAAGACATCAGATGAGAATTATATTGAACACGGTATACCCAAGGGTTTAGTACTTGAACCGATTTTATTTCTGAAATATTTCAATGAGCCGTATTAATAAAACAAAGGACATCCTTGTACTTGCAAATTTTGAAGGAAATTCTCCAGATGGTATTTATAATAAATTAAAGTAAATGCCTTTGCTTTTTGAGTATAAGCATATGCTTCAAAGCAGTGACATAAGTAAATGGATCTTCATAATCTTCACCTTATACTTGGCAAAGAAAGCATATCCTTCAAAAATTCTGAGTGTGGTCAGTAGCAGACTCAACTTCGTAACGAAAGGTGGTCAAACGATGATGGCGGAAATTGTGGATGTTAGGGATGTTAAAACGTACAAACCTCGTTTAGCTTCAGTTGGTCGTGACTTCAAAAAATTATATCGATTCGATGAAGCAAATGTACAATGGCTTGCGGACAGATTTTTAGTTGAGAATGAGAAAACTTGAGGAGGAGCACTTTCGTGTATTCATATACGCTAACTCGGTGACCCTGGATATCAACAAGGTATTGGTCAGGAACTTGATGTTAGTCAAGCAACAGTATCTCGGACTGTGGATACAGTTGTGAACAGCATAGTTGCACAGTCGAACGAATGGATCAAGTTTCCAACTACCAACCATAAACTGATGAAGGTCAAGTGGATATGGCAAAGCATGGAGTAATTTCCGACAGCAATTGGTGTAATTGATTTTACACATATAGGAATCTTGAAACCAAATCGCCATCGAGATGAGTATATCAACCTAAAAGGGAAACCTACTTTAAATGTGCAAGCCACTTGTGATGCCAGAGAGATGTTCACAAGTGTTGATGTCAGTTGGCCTGGATCAGTACATGATTCCAGAATATGGAGAAATTCACAGACTAGATCACAACTAATAAATAAAGCAAATTTTGTACTACTTGGCGATGACGGTTATGGTATTGAACCATGCCTGATGACTCCCTTCAGAAATCCTACTTAAGGTGCAGAAATGAATTATAATATGCTTTTAAAACAAGAAAGAGTTATATTGAACGCTGTTTCGGACAACTGAAACGTTGGTTTCCTATCCTACAGTATGTTTGCTGCGTAAAGTTGGAAAATGTACCGAAAATAATTATTGCTTGTATTGTACTCCATAATGTTGGAAGAGCTTGGGCGATCCTGACTTTGAGTTAGTTGGACAAGACCCAGATGAAGATGAAGGAAATCATTTGAATGACCTCTCCGCCAACTAGGTCAACAAATAAGAAGAAACTTGAGTATTATAATAAATAGTTTTACTGATATAAGTGTATTTATAAGTTATAATAAGTTTTATTTTCGTGAACATCATAAGTTACAGGTGGCTTCTGATGCTGCATCATTTCTAATTTCGTTTTATAATACTCTTGTAGTAAAATACTTGTTTGGTACTTCTGTAATAGCACTAGACGTTGCAGTTCTTTTGTAGTTAATCCTTCGGTTTCCTCGGTTTCGTACTTCTCTGTTGCTAATTTTCTTTTTGGTGGCAATGTCTTCTGAATTGCTGGCGCTGTAATACTGTTTGCTCACTGCGTTTGGTATATAGTTCACTTCCTTCTTCTTCAACACTACCAACCTGAATGGCACCTCTAATTTTCCCAATTGTAGGATTACAGTCACCTTCCATAGCTTTCAGCAACTTTCTTTCCCAATCTAACAATTTAATTGCTTTATTACCAGTTTTTTTTAGATCTGTTTTTTCTTCAATCTTGATTTCATGTTGTTGATTTCTTTAATAAACCGTCAGTATCTAATGGTTTACCGAATGTTGATTCGTATTTTTTCAACATCTTCTTCAAGGAATCGTCCTTTCTCATTTTTATTTTTGTAACTTGTGACTTTTGCAAAATAATGGGAGCAATAACAATTTCATTCGCGATGAACTGCAGGTCGTCGCCATTATTTTCTATAGTTTACTCATCACTTGAGGATGACATGCTTATTAATTTGATAAAAACTGTATCCAGTAAAAATACGGAATGGTCTTGTAAGCTCTGGAGTACAACTGTCAGTGATGCTGAGTGAACGAACTCCCACGTCAACTACAAGCTGGAACAAGTCAGGACATGTCGATTAAGAAACAAATATCAGTCAACCTTTTACTTCTTCTTGGAGGATATCCTCGCGAGTATAAGGTACCCATTATGAATATGGAAACAAGGATATGCTTATACTTCTACCTTTTTCTCCGAAGCAAGACCTTACACTTTTACCTTATGCTTCCGAGGATATGCTTCTCTTTTATGAATACAGCTGTTGATACTACAATATCTGTTAGTATGTGATTTATCTGTTATTGATTTTTTATTTTTTTATTGTTTTACTGTATCTTTTTAAACCCATATTTATATTGTGGCATTTACATAATGTTTATATCTACATATATGCAACATGCATTCGACTACTACTATTAGACATATTTTCTTTACAGAGTGACGTATGTAAGTACATGTCCAATAACGCCAATAAAGTATTGTATTGTAGTTAAGCTTGAAACAACCCTGAAGATGAGGCTCAAGGTCAAATCCAAAATTATCGTTAATCTCCTTGTTCAAAGTTTGTATGGCCTGACTTTGATCTTGTTCAACATTATTTTGCCTAAAAAAATACCGATCCGTTCTATTATTTTTGTTACACCCGGTATAACAGATATTTCTTGTGTTACATGGAATCTTGTAATACACAACGCATTTACAGTATTTTGATAAATTTATTTGTCCAGATAATCCTAATGTCCGACCGGATGAACCACCGTCGAAGCTTCGGGGGTCCCCTTGGAGGCCTGTGGCGCATCCAGGCATGGTGTGTGGCGTGGTGGCACTCGGGTCGGGAGGATGCTTCGGACACGGAAGAGGAGAGTCCCAGCGAACAGGGACATGGGTGCGTAACGCCCGTTTCCTTAGATACGCCTTTGCAGAGCACTGTCAGTAGGTGCACATCGATGAACGTAATCAGGTAAGGGCGATACACAGAAAGGAATTTCCAATAACGATAGGTTGACATTGAAACGGGATCAAGCAAGCAATCTGTGAGCGGTTACTTCGCTAGTTATTTTGAGTTTTGTAATACGCGAGCATTGGGAATAGTGTCGGCGATCATTCCTTATTTCGTTCCATTTTAACCCAGACCAGATGTAAAGATCCGTCAAACAATAATCGTGACCTGCTGTCGTAAGCACTTATTCTTGCACGGTCATCATGTGTGCCCGAACAGAATCTGGACTCATCGCCATTCCACATTCCATTCAAGTCTCTCCCGAGTCCATACCAATCGTTGCCGACGATGCTGTGGGACCACAGGCAGTACAAGATAGGGACGGTATGAAAACAGTCCAAACGACCTTATTCGGCGATAAACTGTTCTCATTGTTATTGTCCTTCCAGCAGCATCAAACAACTGGTTCGCAACTTTCCTTGTTGTGGAAAATCGATCTCTAAGTGCTTGTTGCCTTAAATAACAGTCCTACCGCTTTATAGTCTACCTTCCAGTACCTCTAACTCGTTGATTTCGGCTTTCTTGGAACCACGCTCGACAACATCTCATTACAGTACCTTCGTTTCGATTCACCCGATCAGCGGTTTCTCTAAAAGAAAATCCTTCACGTAACCAGATTATCCGACTCCTCTCAAACTCGGAAAAAGTTGAGTGAAATTGGCGCATCTGCGAGCTCTAGGCACGATATTGCAATGAAACAACACTGAAACAAATGGAACCAACGCAGAAAAATCACTGAGTATTAAGTAAACATATTGATATTGTTCGGATCCCGATATGACAAAAAAGCCTTTACAAAAAAAGTATGGCCCGGAACATTTTATCAGCGTATACTTACATGATAGCAAATATGTTTACAAGTTCTAATCAAAATTCAGTAAATAACTCTGGGTGTTGCATTCTACGAGTATATGTCACTTAGTATATTATAATTGGCACAAGTTAGCCCATCTGACATAAGTTAGCTACGACTAATTTATAACTATGAACATCTGGATCAAATGATTTCCCTGTTCTATCGACAGTACCAACCATTTGGCAACTTATGACTTGCTTCGCCGGTCGCTGGCCACGGCACCACTTCATGACTACGGGCTACAAAACACCGATCAGAGACATATGTATATCTAGCGATGCTTGTGTTGAATATATTTATCTATCATTCCACGTTTTAAGCTATCCTATGAAGTATCTGATAAATAGGCGGACAAAGTGTGCCTGATTTACAAAAAATGGTGGATGTGCCGATTGTAGCTCTCAGACCAAAAACTCGTAAAATCAGTACCTATACGAGAAGAAATATTTCTTAAAAACACCTTGTCGGAAGGTGTTGTGAGGTGTTATGTTGATCATGATCATAATCCGTACAAGGTCAGTTTAAGAGCTAGTTAATTATTCTATCTTTATGCTGGAATATATCTGGCACGAGTTGCTCGAGAATTCAAGAAATTTAATAGGATAGATAGGTAGCATTTCAAGGGCACAGAAAAGTCGTGCTTGTTTCCTTGTCCTTGATTATGATCATTAAAAGGTCAAATCAAGGTCATGTTGATTTTTAAGGTGAAAAGAAAAGCTCATATGTGCAAACATTACTTCAAGTTGTTGTGCCTTACTTATCCCCTCACACCAGTTAAAAAATCAAACAACAACAAGATGTTGAATGGACTAGCTGACTGACGTTTCGGCCACCTCGGCAGTCTTTTTCTAAAGATCGAATTAAATTAATGGCATACAAGTTTATGAAATTGATAATTGATTAAGCAATGATATTTATTTATATCTTTATTCCATGCGACAGAATTCATTTGTTTCTGACGACGATGTAGACTATTAAGCATTTTCCGACTACAAGTAGGTACTGCACTTGTGATGTCCATGAACAAAAAACGGTGTGTTGAACTTGTTGATGTCGAATAAATATCCAAAAACTGGAAATCATGCAGCAGATTAGCGGCTAAGCCTACCCATCTTTGAGCATCCCTTATAAGAAGACTTTCTACTTCGACTAACGCTTGAACGACGTTTGCTTCTTGCGCTTTTGCTAACAGCTGATGCGCTAATACAGCATGGTGGATAGTTGAATGGTCACAAAATTGATTTTTAAATTCTTTGAGAGTTATTGGAATACCAGATCTAAGTGACTTTCATAAAATAAGTCAATGCCTAATTGATAGATGCCGTGATTATGGAAGGTACATTGGCACACCAGCTGTTAGCAACGTCAGACAATACAATACTCTACAATAATCTACTTTTTCGTCCCTTTTCACCTTCAAAATCACCATGATTTTGACTTGACTGTATAAAGGTCATAATCAAAGACAAGGAAACAACCACGACCTTTCTGTGCCCTCGAGAAGCTACCTGTTCTATTGAGTTTCCAGAATTCTTGAGCCAGATTCTATTCCAGCATGTAAAAATCACCTTGCTCTGAAACTGATTATGTAGGGTCCATGATGACGATCAACAGGGCACCTTCCTACAAGGTGTTTTAGTTTTACCATACTGATTTACGGTCCTTTACGGGAAAATCTGTGATGTCTGAATTATAGTACGTTTAATAAGTGCGCAGAATAATTGGAGTTGAAATTGTATGAATATACTCCAAAAATTCATATACACTCTCCTCCGCCCTCTAAAAGCCTCAACCCCAAATTTTAAACCTCTATAAATTTTCTTTTAAATTAAACGTCAAAAACAAGGTTTTAGCAATGTTTTTTGGCTCTTGCCCATAACTCTGCCTCTACTGGATCGATTTTCTGAAAGTACAAAGCTTTTTTGGCATAGTAGTAACCTTTTATAAAACAATTATCAAAACCCGAACGCTACTTTCCAAGTTACAGACAGACATAGAGACCGATAGAGAAATAGACCTACAGGCTGACGGAAATGAGTAAATGGGTGTTTCGTGATGTAATATAAGACCTAAAACACATACATATTATCTCATTTTCGAAATTTGTCGCAATTGTAATAGTTCCAGTGTGGAGTGAAATGTTAAATGACGTTGGTAAAAAGGATTAAGGGGTGGTTTTCCTAGAACAGTATATTATTAAGGAATTTTTTTCTCATTTGAAATACACATCGATGGCTTACTGTATGGAATATAACACGGGTCTACAATGAACTCAAGAGGTCGTTTTTCTAATGACTGCCGTATAAATCAGGCGGCACTTAAGCGAATGCATTGTAAAAAGCTGAAGATTCAACTGCCGAAAAATTACAATCTGACGATGATAGTGGAGTAGAAGCTCGTAATATTATAATAGTTGGGTTTTATTATGATTGTGATTAATAATAAGAACATAATAGAAAAAAGCTTACATTAAAGATCTTAACTATGCACTTTCCATTCAACGCTGTCATCAGTTCATAAAAGATTATGTCCGGCACAAGTTAGACCCTTTGAGAAAAAAGTTAGCTACGAAAACGTAAAACAAGAGATTAAATGGATCAAGTCATTTTTTTATACTCCAACTACCACGAAGACCTAAGGCCTAAACACCCATTGGGTACCATGGGGCTATAGGGGGATACAGGGGACAGAGGGAACGCCACACGGTCTCTGTCGAGGGAACACGTGTGCATGCAAGCAGCATGCACACATTCTGGCTCCGCCTACGAGATCCGCCGGGTGGTACCTTCGCATTCGACAGTCAGAGACCATCTACCACTTACGGACAATCACAACATCCATAGACAAGAGACTTATCAGGAGACCGAAGAGTCAAATACTACAATATAATCCATATACATCTTTTCCCGGCCTTACCGGTCGTTGTGAGTTATCCTTCCAGAGATGAACGGTCTTGGGACGCTCACAACGCTCATAGCGAACAAACGTGGAATGTACTAGTTGCACACTAGGAACAACAGCAAGTTGGCGTTTCGTCGGTTTTTTTTGTCGCTTTATAGGTTTTTTACGTAAAATTCAGGTCTGTTTATACCAAACATGTTCAAAATCTGTTTATCTTCTTTTATTCCTACTTGACGTGGAATATACGTAGTATTGCTTAGCCATTTAGCTTGTAGCGTTTCTCCTTATGGACCACAACGAAATGCGAACCTGCCTACTGATTTAGTGTTGACAGGTCCGGCGGAATTGTGTGTCCTTGTCGATATGGGGTATTTTCAAATGTTGCTAGATAAAATCAGCTGTTATTTGCTGTAACGTTCGATGTAATGGAAACCCGTGAAGAAGACCGGAGTAAAAATTAACATAATATCGAACTATGTTATGTTGCTTACTTTTCCTCTTCCATTCAATTCTTTGCTCTAATTTTCGTGCTGCTTTAGGTGACGTATAAAATTAGAATATGGTATAGTAAATTATTTCAGAAATATCACATGTACACTAATCTTTAGTCCCATTTCTTTCCACAACCAAAAATAGGGTATAAAACCGTTTCTCTAACAAAATTAGATGGTCCCGTGTTATTTCACGTCTCTGCCACATTGCACGCTGTGATCAATTTGATCATCCCCATCACCCACACACAGCGAATAAGCTAAACATGTAGCACGTATCAAAATATTACCACCAAATTAATAAGTATTTGAGAGATGGCCTATCAAATAGCTTAAATTTCAAAGCAAATAAATATCAAATTATTAATGGAAGTAAATGATGAAGAGAGAATTGGTAACGTTTTGTCATTAAATTTGCACCATTTTGACGCAAACCAAGCGTAGAACAATGCATATGCAATTAATTGGATATTGGAAAGTGAACTTCATAGTAAAATAAACTTTGTTTTAAAATAAAATCATGGAATATAATAATAATTAGTTAATAGAGGTCTTATATGCTGTAGATGATGATGCCACGACGGGACTTTGTTAGTTTCAACCCTAGCATATGTAAGAAGCTCAAAAAGTACTTTGAAATGTATGTTCAAAGAAGGAGTCCTGGACTAATTGCCGAGAAGAACTTTTCTCTAATAGACTCTAATGAAAATTTATGTTTCTGACAATGTAAGAAATGCTTTAAGATTTTAATATTTATTTCTTCCACCGGTCTGTCTGACTGCCTGTCGGTCTGTCCGCTAATTTCATAACCGCCTATAACTTGTGAATTCTGCTAGGATTTTGATTCATTTTTCACACAAGGTAACTAGTATACCAAGGCAGAAAAAGCTTTGTAATTTTTGAAAATCTGTCTGATCTGGGCGGAGCTAGGGGCAAAAACAAGAACATGGACTTTGGGGTTGTGGGTTTTAGGGAGTAGGGGGTTGTAAATGTTACATGCTTAGTATTAGTCAAAGACATTCTATCATTAAGAAGCTTCTGATTTCGGTAAGTACGGAAACATTGAATGATAAAAGTTTGATGTAAAACGTGTTCTTAATTCGAAATAATTTGGTAATCGTTGGCGTTGCATGCACGGGGCGATGCTGCATCGTCGTGGAGGCCACTGTCGATTGTGCAATGGGTAACAAACTGGTCTGAGGTGGTGTCGTCACTGTCACCGCTACAGGAGAAATAATTATATATTTTAGTATTTTTTCTTCAGGATTTGGTATATGCGCTACTAAGTCAGATTTGTAGACCTTCATTGAGACTTGAGACTTTCTTGAGACTCATTGGAAACAGTAAATGAATGACGCGTCATTGGAGAACGTTCAAGAAAGGATTTAAATTTTTATTTCACAGAAGTCTGTAACAGTTGTCATCAGCTTTCATCAATATCAGTACCTAGGATTTTTCTGTGCTGGCCATATCTATTTAGCATTTAGGTGATAAAATTGAGACGAATTTTATTTGTTTATCAATAAACAATGCAAAACAATGTTTTCTTCCTCGAATGAAGGCGTATCACAGAGACGTAGAAAACAATATAGGCATCCAGTTGCACTGAGCTAGTCTGCTAGTTGTAGATTGTATATTATGTCTGTCAGATTCAACTATTACTGCAATTCACAAAAAACGTATTTTATACTCAAATTTTATCTTATTATAAATTATAATGTGTGACTATGAAAAAAAAAGTTTAGCAAGGAGAAGGAACATTTGATCGAGATACTAGGCAAATTCAAAAGGATCATTGAAAATAAAAACAACAGCAGCAGAGTAGGTCGGTGCAACTGATTGCCTATATTCACTTTTTTAATTCTCCCAATTTTATCATCAACATGATAAATAGATACAGCCAGCAAATAAAAATCTATCTGACATCGATGATAGGTTGTGATCACAACTGTTACAGCCCACTGTAAAATGAAAATTTGAATACTCCCTTGTACGATCCTCAGGGAAGCCTCAAGCCGCAAGGGAGGTCTATAAATCTGACTCTAAAAAAATCTCCTTATTTTCACTATAGATATATGCTGAGTAGAGGAAAGTCGTAACTTTAGGGACATCTTGTATATTAAAATTTGATATAAGGAAATGAGCAAAATTATCACTGACTTTCCAGGGATTCGTATATTTCAACTGGTGTCAGTGGTGGCGCAATTCCCCACCACATGCAGTCTTCCCCTCAACGAATGGCCGCCCGCGATACCAGGAGCCTGCCTGCAGCCACACGAATGCAGACGGGTGTGGGAGCCCCTACGACTGTGGCGACCCCTGGGGGCCGGTCGATGAGTAGCGACAGCGTTTACACAATCCTCATTAGGCTACCTGCGCCCCAGATTGAAACGGGGGGAAGCAATACTACGTCTGCTGGAGGGCAGACGGAAGGAGCGTCGATTAAGATGATCCCAGAGGTAGGATATTAGGGGTTAGGCTTAATCACCAATCATATTTTTCGTATCTGTATATTTTTCGAGTATAAGGATCCTGAGGCTTCAGTCACAACGCAAGGACATTCAAACCAGAAAGAAAGCTTCATCCTTATTCATGTCGAGCTTTCGAAAATGTTCAGTGCCATTAAAAACCAAATTACAACGTTGAACGGAGTAAAAAAAAAACGAAATATTAAAAACATCAACCAATACACATGTCACAATTCAAAATATTGATAAACAGGACATTCATGGAAAAACTTGCAAACTAGGCTGTATCAGAAAACATTTGAAACAAGAAAAAAAGGTGTTCAGCACTGATCCGGTTTCGATCGATGGCCCAGTTCTACCAAAGATCCATTTATTTCGGCCGGTCGGAGTCGAGATCACAAAAGACCTGATCTGGCACAAACACATCTCGTCAATAGCGGAAGCTGCTGGGAAAAAGCTGGTAGGCTATTTGATCAGGGCTAAGAAGTACTTTTCTCCACATGACCTCCTCACCCTGTACACTGCCCATATAAAACCTTGCCTCGAGTATGGCTCACATGTTTGCGGTGCTGCCGCTTCGCCTACATTATCCATCTGACTGAATGATGATTGTTCTCTAATAGACAGCCTCGGGACCCTTTCGTACCAGCGGGCAGTCGGCGATCTAGCTTTATTCTACCACTACGCCAAAGGGCATTGCTCCTTAGAACTCCTCTCCATTATTCCGCCGTGCAATGTGCCTGCCAGAAAGACTCGCCTCCCATACTAACAGTGTCGAACTTCGTATATCCAGAACTGGCCGCTCTTTTGTCTCTACTGTATCGAGATTGTGGCACAATATACAAGAGGAGGCTTTTCCCAGCTATACTAGCCTCAAACAGTTCAAAAATTGAATCAACAAAGTTCCTTTAAGATTTTCATAGCAACCACGGTGCCCTCGCATTTAGGCTTCTGTCTATGCGGTGCAAAAAAACACCTGCGCATAATTGATGAGAGAAAAAATGGAGTAAAACACTGAAGTTATCCATCAAAAGCAAAAGGCTGCTTCCTCTCTCTATAATTTTTGAGAAGACTTATCCTACTCCTATAAAGTAATTTGATAATTTTAACAAAATATGACTCTTACAAAAATATTTGTGGTTATAATTAGAATAGCACAAAAGGTAATGTGGCCTCGCAGCGAGGTATCCGGTATCGTTAATGTGGGTACCGGGGGACACTGGGATAAGGGGCAATGAGACCGTGGACGCTCTGGCGAAGACAGGATCAGCCAGCAAGCTCGTTGGTCCTGAGCCAGCTTTAGAAGTGCCCGCGCATAGAGTTAGGAGAAAAATGGAGACGTGGATTGCAAGACAACACTCTCAAAAATGGAGAAGTATCTCTGCCAGGCACGGTAACTCATCGAAGTGCCCAGTGCTAAGGATGGACGCTTCTGCTCATCCTTGGATAGAGCCAACTTAAGTTTGCTGGTGGGACTGTTGTCTGGCCATAACACGTTAAGGCGCCACCTGCACGTGATGGGGGTGGCTGAGGATTCCTTGCTTGAGCGCTGCGGGGTAGAGGAGGAGACCTCGGCGCAGGTGTTGGGTCGCTGTGAAGCTCTGAGCTACTATAGGCAAACTATACTGGGGTCCATTACTTTGGACCCTCAAGACGTCAAAGAGCTTGGACTCAAGGCGATTATCAACTTCGCTAAAAGGGCAAGGATTGTGATCTAAAGAATGTAGAGTTGCATAAGGGCCCGCTTAAGCGGCCTATGCACTGGCTCCTTATGGTGGCCGGAATGCCACGATTCATTCATTCATGCAAAGGTAATGTGACAAATTTCTGAAAGAGTGAGAGAGAGAAGCGATTCTCTAGCTTAACAGAGTAGAACTGTTTCTATGGGTTCACACCGTTGCCTTTTCCAAGGAAACAGTACAAACGGAATAGAATCCTTCTCGCAAATTGTTAAATTTATCGGTGTCAGACATGGCACTTTCTTTCATCTTAAAGGTCAGGCTTACAAGTGTCAGCGTTATATCAGTATTATTTAGGGAGGAGACTAGCAATACTGCATGGGAGCTATTCTGTCAATTCCAATCTCAAGAAATTATTTGTACCCAGTTGTCATTCGTATTTTGAAACAGTACTCGCTTAAATCCTCTGTATTTCTCACAAAATCTGTTTTTCACACCGGATACCGGTAGATCGTGACCAGTCATTTAATGCCAAACCGTCAGAAAATAATTGTAACGCATGTCTAGGCCTGAAGAGGACGATTATAGCCTGCGGCATAAAGTTTGAGCCCAAGGTACTACCACCATAAAGTAAAAAAGTTAGAGAAGTTTTTTACAATACAGTTAAAAATAAATTGACTGTTCTATTGTATCGCTGCCAGTTGCAACGTTGCTTAGCAATAAATGAATGATGACAGTTTCCATTGTGTACCCTATATTCTGTACTAACAACATAACTTAATTTGTGCATAGCGGGAGCTAAAGTTCTTTTAATGCCCTAGAGCATAAATTACTCCATAGACTTCAAAGTGGGGTTTAAGGTTCACCGATCACGGGAAGGGTCCGTAATTACTTGTGGTTAGGCAACAGCTGCATTAGTGGTCAGTCGGTACAATTTGCTTATTTTTTGTCCACTTGAAAATACTAACTTACTCTGTAGCCGCTTTATGTATGTTAAGTGGGGCATTATGGCCCGCGGCCTGGAATTAGACCAGACGGCGGGAAGGCTCTAACACAGTAAGAGACATAAAAGCATATTATGCCCGAGGTACATAAACAATTTAATCTGCGACGGAGTACAATGAAAAATATAATGTAGCTTTCAAGTAGAATTAAAAATATCGTGTTCAACATATATTAACTTATATACTAAGTGACATATAAATCCGAACACCCAGTTTAAATGGTTTTATTTTAATAAAATTTTGTATAAGTACTTAATGAAGCATAATAAGTAAATGATAAAAATTTCAAAATGATTGCACTGCTTTAAAGCCCTTTGACCTTTAATAATGTGTGGATGCACCCTGATGTGCTACGCATTCTCCAACGCGCCTAGGCATGCTTCTGATCAGGTGGTCAATGTCCTCCTGTGGTAAACAAAATCGAGACTCATCACTAATAACAATACTGTTCCATTCCTGATTCCAGAGTGACCGTTGTCTGCACCACTCAAGGCGATTACGTCGGTGATCTCGAGTTACAGGGAGGACCCAGTGTGGCCGGTATGAAAACAAGCCAAAACTTCTCATTCGTCGGTAAACACTTCGCATGCCAACAGGTCTTCCATGTTCTGCAAACCATTCATTTGCAATGGACCTGGTAGTGGAGAAACGGTCCCTTAAGGCTAATAATCTTAGGCGGCGATCTTCACGGTCTGTTGTTCTACGGCGGCGTCCAGTGCCCCTTGCTCTTTGCGTACGGCCTTCTCGAAGCCATGCCTGACAACACCTAACCACAGTGTCTACACTTCTTTGCACTCTAACTGCAATTGCCCGAAAAGAAGGTCCAGCTTCCCTAAGTCCCACTATACGGCCCCTATTAAACTCACTAAGTTGACGAAATCGTACAGGTCTCCGTACTCTAGGCATCGTAATCGATCGTAAAGGATGTCAAGAACCAAAATCCGCCAACGTTGATTCTTTACTGCGGCTGAAATATTCATTTTTAGAGCGTTAGTGAATTACAAAAAAGCAGTATAAAAACCGGAATGTCCAACTGATAAGGCTGAAAATGTTTTCACTTGTTATTTACAGTAAGATAAATACATTCACCAACTTTTATTAAAATAAAACCATTTAAACTGGGTGTTCGGATTTATATGTCACTTAGTATACATAGCGGGAGGCAAAGTATGTAAGCTGAAAAGTGGGACTTGAGGTCCAAGAAACCTTTTATAAATAAATAGATATATAACATTTTGTATGAATTTCGGGCGCGGACCCACTAAGCATTTATGTGTTTTGGCGTATTAGACCACACGTCATTTCATACACTCGCCCCTAATTTCGCGCTGCGGTACACAAACACCAGCTATAGGCTCTAGGTACATAAATATCGATTTTTGGACTCTTGAAACCTCTGTAGGCCCTTTCTCCAAAAAAGCGTGACAAAGTAACTTTGGCGCCCGCTGTGATTGAATTAACCTATGCTGAACATAGTATGGTGACAAAGGGAATTGTCCCTATTTATTTGTAGCTAGCAACGGCGCAACCATCAGTGATACAACAGTGCGCGCAATTTACTTATCTCCAGTTTTACAGAAATGCTTCTCGAATTTTTTTACTTTAGTTAGTCTTAAGTCACGAGTATTAGTGGAAGTAAGTATTAACCACTAAAGGATAACCTGTGAGTGGCTACTCCATCCAGCTCAAGCAAGACTAAACTTACAAATTTTAAAAACACAACACTACAGACAGTTTAAAATGGGGCATTAAGATTTATTGATTTAGCTAAATTAGAGACTGATCTACCTATAACTATTATTTTCTTTTAACATATCACAAAGACCAGGAGTAAATAAAATCTACAAAGACAGTTGAATAGCACCTATGAAAAAAGGGAAAAATCAATAAGTCAAGAATCTGCAACTTATAATGTTTATACATATGAACTTTAACTCTCGAAACCTAATGCAACCAGATGGTGCTCAGCGCTCAGCGTCGTCTTATTTCGTACCTTGTGAATAGAGTATACGAGTAGTTACGATGCTTTCGTTCGTTGTCCAGAGACGGGAGGCCAAGCCGAGACCATGCTGATGAGAAGCCAAGAAGCACAAAACAGCATCTAGTTAAGTTTACTTAATGGCAAGTAGACAATATCTACTTTACAGCCAGAATAGTTAGCCATCTAGCGGTCACATAACGACTGGGCTACTGAACGTAAACTGAGATCCCTAACAGTTCCAATTAATAGCAGCTATGCTCTCTACGCAGTGGCCGATTTTAGTGCGACAGATAGCGCTCTCTTATTTCAATATTTTTGTGCAGTCTGCCAGACTTAAAAATGCGCCAATTTTGGCCTGAAAAGTTGAAATCGCTTTAAAATAAACTAACCTGGAAATAACCTTCAAGGTTTTGTAGAGCAAGGTTCTTACTTGATGATCTCAAAAATTATAATTTTTAGTGATAACCCAGATCAAACACGTTTAAACAATTTATTAAATAAATAATTTTTTTGCCCGGAAAAAAGGTTTAATTAACTTTTCCTCAAGGCTGACCAAAAACTCGATTAGAAAATTATAATATTCGAGGTTTTCAAGTAACTAAATTAAATCTTAAACCTTGCATTTTTAGATACTCGTTCATTTTGAAGCGATTTTTAACGTTGTCTGTTAGGATAAAATTAGCAAACTTTCGGTTTTCACAGACTATTATGTACACACAATAATAAATAGCTATACTTGATATTCTGAAACTTTTGGTTGACCTTTATTTCAAAAATGCCTGATTACCAAGATCTTGGGGTACTTGCATATTATTTTTGTCGCAGAACCCCCATTCCCATTCCTGGATGGATTAGCATATACGTATTTAGGGACAACATAATTCTTGCATTTTAGATAACAAGAAACCACGTAGATGGCACCACCGATTATACAATGCTCCAAAATCAAACAAACTATCACCTAAATAGGAGACCGTCAGCAATGCCCGACATTCGAATTCCGCTGAATGCTAAGATTATTCCGAAGCAACTGGCTGGCGGAGGCAAACAGCACATCAGCGCTAATGCTTCGTCTGCATCTAATATCGCAGCTGTCAAAAATCCAGTTAAGAAGAAGAAAAAAACTCAGGAAAAGAAGGCTGACAAGAAGGTTTGTGTGAAGTTGTATTTGGATAGTGTATATTTTTATATTTTGCATGTGTATTGAGACAAGAGATGTGCACGTAATGTGAGTTAAACCAAGGATGTTTATTCAATGCCCATGCTCGTTAGTTCAATTATTAATGCTAGTGTTCAGTCACATCATTGGAGAAGCATCCTCTGTAATGTATAGTTTTTTAGCTCGCGATGGGAGGTTACTTCTCATATCCTCAAAATTGAGACAATGAAGTTTGAGCAATAAGTTAACCTCGCACTTGACACCAAAATGTGTCGAAAGATAACATCCGTTTCCCATTTATATTTACAGATTATGGAAATCCCAAATATAAGTTAGGATGGAAAGGGTAGAGAGACCATTTGCGATTATCGAAAGAGCTACTACAGGCCTTATTTGGTTTTGCATTTATGTATTGTTTATCAAGAGGAAAGTTATTTACTTACAATATGAGAAACACATTGAATTCCCATCTGTTTATGCACCGCGTAACAGTTAAACTAAACAAATTCAATATGCTGTTGCGGTGTGCCTATACTTAACATGCTTAGAGGCGGGCGTACAAAACCTAAAATTTCTAATACTGTTTCTATTACATACCAACGATTTTCTTTCGTGTATAATCATTTGATCCACAGACAAAAACGGCATGAGCATGCTCACATACATAAACAGAGTGTTTTATAAAGACGTGCCAATATTTCTAAGGTAGAAAGTATATCAAAGAATAATAAAAAAGTTTCTATGAATATGGGTCTAAAGATGCTCCCTTAAGAGATACAGGGTGATGAGGAGGAGAAAAATATCTACGGAGCGGGTAAAGATACTGAGTTAAGATCTTAGACGTAGGGTGGGCACATCATAAGCAATAAATACGGAGTTTTCTGCTAAACCAGGGACGTGGAAACTGGGGTTCCTGGACCCCTAATAGGGGAAAAGAAGTGCATTGTGCGTGCAAGTACGATAAAATTTTCCATAAATTCAGTTTCTTAAGGAATTTTTATCATATCACTTGTTTTGGAGATATTATTTAGAATATTTGAGGTAGAACCGTTAAATATCTCTGGAAAAACCGTGAATTTTAATATTGGAAACAGTATGAAAGCTATGGCACCTCATTACAACATTAATTAAATAATATGCGTGTCTCATCTTCAATCAGTAGCGTAGTACTGTTTCATTAAACCTTTCCTGTGTACCCCACTGGTTTTTTCGGTATATTCATTTTTGCTTATATATATAGAGAAACTATAAAACAAAGAAAACGTTTAATAAAATAAAGAAATAAGGCTAATAAGAACTAAGCACGACAATAATAAACATTACATTTGATACAACTGACGGGTTATTTCTAGTTTATGACGACATAACATTGGGAACAAAAAATAATGCTGAATGAATGTTATAACATCCAACCTAAAGGAGGTGTTGAAGGTGGCCACTTCTGGATTCAATACAAGCCCGAGCTCTACGCCACAAAGACTCTCTCTCAGTATGATGATGATTTGTGATATCTTCTTTGTTGAACTCACTTAATCCGAAATGCTAAAGAGTTTTGAGAAAGAAAGGGCTGATAACTTCAGAAGTAAAATAGTAACAATTTTATTCAAATTGATCGGTATCACAATTAGTAATTGTGATTTTGGACAAATAGAAGAATCTAATGTGGGTTATACCAGGAGAAGTATACCATGAACACCAGTTGCATTCATAGACAAGGTTTAATGAATAGTAAGCTCCTGATTGAGAATACGACACGCATATTATTCAATTGATTCTGTAAAGAAAAGCCATAGCTTTTTTCACATTCCATATAGTATATAGTGTTTCCAATATCAAGCATCTTGGTTCCAGAATAGGAGAGGAGAAACCTTTTCATATGTTTATTTTAGGGTTCTACCTCAAATATGCAAACCTTGATATATCCAAAGCAAGTTATCTGATAAAAATTCATTGAGTCACAAAATTTATGGAAGATTAAATAGTATTTCATGAACCTTTGGGTTTGAGCCCCCACCTCACTCCCATTGAATTGCGAGCCTTGTTAACCTTGTATTCAACATGCTCTCTTCAGTTCAGATTACAGTCCAGGATAATTCCTAGATATTTCACTGATTAGGATAGAACTAGTCTACTCCGAAACAAGGTTGGCAAGACAAGCCCGTCAAGCCTCTTTCTCCTAGTGAATAGGTCCAGCTGGGACTTTCCAGCGTTGGCAGAAATATCCACCTCCCTACACCACGATTCCACAGTGCGCAGAGCGCGCTGCATAATCTCAGAGACCGTTCTACAAGAACGACTATGCTTGAGGCATTAGCATAGGCTTGCACATAGACAACCGCACTGCTGATCCTAACGATTAGCTCGTTTACCACGAGGCTCCACAATAGGTGTGACACATCCGCCCTGCGGACAGCCCCGCGCTACACTGACGGTGCAGCATATGTCATTCAGCATAGTATTGCTAACCGACCCTCCAGATTAGATAGGTCGCAATCAACTAGGATTGATCCAACCCCGTGCCTAACCAAGGCATGTCTGATAGAGTCGGTTGTGGTTCAATTAAATGCATCTTCCATGCCCAAAAAGGCCACGAGTGTTACTTCTCGCTGATCTAGAGTCTTCTCCAGCCTACCGACCAAATTAGTCGATTTACCAGCCGAACTGATTGGAATTAATGACGTAATCTCTCTAGTGGGCCATTCCTCAAAAATCTGTCAACTATCATTTCCATGTCGTAAGCACAAAAGAGGAAAGGGTAATCGGACGAAAATCCTTCGGGCCAGTATGGGTTTGTTCGAACAGTGGTCGGTGAGTTGTCGTTGACTGTGACTGGGATCCGGCCGTGAACTCCGTTTACATAGCGTAGCAGAAAGACGATAATGTGTGTGACAGGATCTTGGACACGATCGCTGACAGGTTGAGGACAGCTGTACGAAAAGGAGTTTGCCCGATTTAGGAAGAAATACCACTTTCGCCTGCCGCCAGTTTCTATGTGTGAAGCCCGTGGCCATACGTGCTCGAAACACCTTCAACAGGTAAGGAACAATCGAATCCCACCAGTGCTATAACAGGCCTGGACTTTTGTATGTAGCAAACGAATCTATCGCCCATACCATCCTATCGAAGCTGACAGTCTCCCTTGCCATGCGTCAGTCGTCCCCTGAGGGCCTGCGCAACGGCATGCACTCTGTGATTGTCTGCGCTACTGTGCAAGTGCGTATCCAGTAACAGCCTCATAGTACCTTTCTTGGAAGTTGTGCTACCTCCCAAGGGACCAGATAGAGTATTCTAGCGATAGTAGGAATGTCATTCATCGACGGAGGTTTCTCCAGGATTCTCTGTACTCTTCCCATTGTGGAAACCATCTCCTGTGCTTAACTATACCAAGAAGTTTGTGCACGGCTTGTTTCCTATATTTTAGCTTCTTAGACCAGAAGGTTACTTTGCCCTTACCTTGAACTTTACGTAACGGGTAGTTTTCCTCATACGAAGCTGCCAAGTCTCTGCTCAGAGACTCCACAGCGACTTCTATATCAGAGTCCTTACAAAGGCTGTATGGAGACACTGCAAGTTTACTATCAAAATCTGCCCTAAAGGATGCCCAATTGGTATACTTAGGATTCATAGAGATTTCTAGTCTTTAATCTCCTGAGCTAACTTAAGCTTACTCAGTTTTGCATTGATAACCTCTTCTCTGACATTGTTAATAAAAGTATGCGTGTTACCGATATTCATAACCTCAAGGTTTGATAACCCCAAGAACTCAATGAACTCTTCACCGTCTGTTGGTGTTCATGCTGCCCACATAACCTCGCACGCACTCATGAGGTCAAGTACAGAATCCCTACGATATGCAACAAGGTCCTCCAGCTCCTTAGACGAAGGAGGTTTTTTTGAATCGTAAGGAACGTATGCCGTACATACGACCAGATCCCTGTCAGCGCCTTCCTTCTTATGTCTAATTCTAACTGCAACTAAGTCTCTGAAGGAAAATTCGTCAAGTTTCTATGGATTAATGTTGATCATTACTCAAGCTCGGGGTTTAGTGTCCGGAATATCGCTAAAAAGCGTATAGCCAGGTAAACTGCACCTGTAACTGAATTTTTTCTCAGCCAGGGTTCCTGGATGAGATCCACATCAGGGCGGCCTCGAGAGATCTTCTGAGTGGGAGCCCTTGAAGCCGCTATGCACTGCTGTAAGATATTTTGAATAAAATTAAGATTTACTGTAGGGCCTCTCCTGCACCTTTCCGGAGACCGGTATATATGCCCTATTCGGGCATACAGCCGTTGCGGCTTAGTATCCCATCCTCGTCCGAGTCAGTGACATGGTCCTCTAGGGCACGTTCAATTGCCGGGCCCTCCACGATGTTTCCTGCGAGTACCCCGCCAGGACCCACTGTCCCCCTGTCCGTAACATCTGGAGGTTCTAGCGAGGGGTGACCCTGCTGACCCGTCTTCTGTGAAGGGGCCTGGTCTACCGCTACATCTCCCGTCGGTATGGGCCGGTAGACCCCTCGCTTGGAACCTGATCTGTTTCGGCAGGTATCGCGTCGATGGCTCACTTTTTCCCTTTGCTCAGAAGTGTAAACACCCTCGAGCTTTCTCCGCAGCACAGCCTGTTGCCGTTGCTCTCAACGACCTTCCAGCTAATGAAGTCCACTGTCAGAACAAGTCGGATCCCTTTGGGTTCTTCCTTCCTCTCCAATAGCCTCCAGGCTCCTGAGCTGCCTCGTGATGACATCATTCTCCAGGTTGGGACCCGGGAACCAGGCCATCACGCGCTGGTAAACAGGAAGGTCACCAAAGCTCATCGCAATGAGCCTTGCACCTTCCCACGGCCACAGATCTCCCACGTGGGTCTCCAACCATGCTCTAGCCTAGAGGACTCGTCCTCGCAGACAAAAATGGCTGCCCCTCGAGAGAGGTAGCAGTCAATCTACTTAGGTAGGG